CCGTTGGCAACAGAGCCTCTGGAAGCCCGTTGAAAACGGACTCCTCATCCTCTGAGACAGACCCACGGCCACCTGGGTCAATAATTATGGAGTTGTTTGGACTGGAAGGAACTTGGCCTGGGTCATTCGGTCCATTCCCAGGCATCGTGGTGGGATCGAGTTCTTTACTCCAAACAACCTGTAATAAAGAGGTCCCTCGTTCTCTGAATAGCTCCAGGGATGGAAATTCCACTTTCTTTGGCAGTTCATTCCCTTGTTTTGCTTGTTCTCTTGTTCTGCACAATCCTTGTGTTTTGTGTTTTTTTAAACTTCTTCAAGCTCTGAACATGTTTTCCTCCTGTAATTTAAACCATTGAAAGCGACTCCTCCGATAACATCTTCTCACCTATTGTGAAGCGGCTAGGGGGCCCTGTCTTCCGTTGTCTTCTGAAGGCAGAGCGTGGTTCAGGCTCTTAACTGTTCTGTCCTCCAAACCCTGAGTGGCTTGCTTTTGTTTGTTTAGTGTTTTCTCCACCCCTCAGCCCAACTCTCAAAAAAATCACTGATCTTAAGGAAAAAAAAGAAAAAAAAAGAACTCACAAAAGCATCTGCGGGGAGGGAGTGACACAGATGCCCCAGGCTTTTTACCTCCTGGCTCTCAGGGAGTTTCAGCGGCTGTCCCTAAAGGGCCACTGCACGAAAGGATCTCAGGTGGAACGATGGTAGAACAGTGTCTCTGCATGGATATTCTAGGGGCCATCAGGGTGATTTTACTAGGGTATTGTTTGAAACACAAAGCGAAAGGCAGCCCAAGTATGTTCATCTCGCCTGTGTAAATAAAGCCCACACCCAGGCTCCATGCTCTCTTTTTCTCCTCTTTCTCCTTCTCCTTCTGTTTTCCAGAGCTTTCCTCAGCTCAGCCTCAGTGCCCCACCCACTCACACATCCAGCTGCCCTCGGGTAAACCCAGCGCTTCTTTTAAAGTTCAGCTCTTTCTATTCCAGCAGCTGGACCCAAAGCTGAGCGAGCTACCCTTCACCTCCTCCTGGCTAAGCAGCGCCCTGGGCTACACCCTGGGGGCCACAGAGCCAATCAGAGCCTCCGAGCATCTCCACAGGCACCAGCTCCTGAGGCAGGATGGGTGGTTTGCTCTTGTCCTGAAGGAAGGTGCTTTGGCTCTGGAAGGTGTGGGGCCCCAACTGCGATACACAGTCCCTGCTGTAGTGAAGCTCAGGCCCAACTCAGTGACTCCCTCCCTCTGGGAAGCCCTGTTACCACCCTCGTTCACTCTGAACTCTGTCTCCTCTAGGCCTTTGTTTCTCTGCATAAGGTCCATGGACCCAAAGCAGCAAGATTGCCTGGAAAACTAGGTAAAAGTACCAATTCCATGGCCCACTCCAGATGTAGCAAAGAACACTTCTGGGAGTGGAGGTGGAGGGCTGTAACCTTAACCTCCTCCCCACAGTGCTCCCTGGGCCAGTGAGGGTGGAAAGACCCAGTTTAGAGCCGAGCATGGGGAGAGCATGGATCTTAGGCACATCCTGCAGGCTGCTCTTTCCCTTGCCATGGGGCTCAAGAATCACTTCTCAAAGGTAGAGGGTGGCCCCTCTATTCATGGGTCTGAACAGTAGAGTGTGGGTGAATTGCTTAGAACACTGCCCCGGACACGGCACGCTCTCAGTACATTAGCTTCTCTCTTTTTTTGTTTTTTTGGTTTTTTTTTCCAGTACCAGGAATCGAACTCAAGACCTTGCGCTTGCTAGGCAGGCGCTGTGCCACTGAGCTAAATAGCTTCTGTCACCATGAGGAGGAGGAGGACGACGATGATGATGATGATGATGATGATGACAAAAACAACCATAAAATGAGGACAACAACCACACAGCTGAGTCTTTAGAGGACGTAATTCGAGGTCTTCATGGAGATGTGCCCTGACGAAGCGGTCAGAAACTCCAGTCAGGACTCTGTGTCCTCTCGCCCCAGCTGCAGAGCCAAAGGCATCCATTTGTGTCTGCAGGAGCTGGGAGGGCTCAGGAAGAGCGGCGAGCCATGTCCATATGGACAGAGACCGATTCCTGTGATCCTTCAGCTCCTTCCCATCAAGACTCTCCCCTCACCTGTCCCACATTGGTCAATTCTATCTCATTCTCACCAGGCCTACCAACTGATCCCCTGCCTCTTCCCAGTCTCAGGCTGCCTTCCATACTGACCAGCAGCTGGTAAAGTGTTAAGGCGTTAACCTCCTCAAGAGCATTTCCTCCTGGAGCAGTTCAAACCCCGACGTATCTCCAATGGCTGCATCTCTAAAGGTGGACCACCAGTAGATAATATTTCTATATATAACTGTTACATTTATACACTTTGGTTCATTTTCTAAGAACTAAGAGGCTTCCTATCAGATGCATTCAGCAATACTTTAAAAATATATAGAAAGAGCCAGCTCTCAAGGTGGTTGAAGGACGGTGGGAGAAGAGATGACCTTCTTCCCTACTCAACTGGTTGTTTGGTGTAGGCTAAACCTTCCTCCAAAAGAAGTTGGTTTCCATGTTGGTAAGTGTGGGTTTGGGAAGGAGACCCAGGGGCTCTGCTCCTGAACACAGCCATCAGCTCAGGTGGATTTACCCGAGTGGGAACAAGACGACGTGATGTTGAGAGCCTGCACCTCCACTCAGTGGGTGACATCAGAGCAACAAGATTCTGCACTAACTGGGCAGTTTCCAGAGCAGAGCTGGCTGCCATGAGGCCAGGCCCAGCGGTGCTGATGTGAAAGTCAACAGACACAGTAGTAGCTTAGGCGGACGGAAGGAAAGGTGCTCACCTGCCAGGCAGCACTTCGGCTGATCCTTTCCTGGGGACGTTGCCTGTGTGTGTATGCACTGACTCGTGTCTGCTATTAAGGGAGAACCAATGTTGATTCTGAGGGTGACCCTCACCCTCACTCGGAGCCTGGCTGCCCTGGGACCAGGCTACCGTCGCCACACCAGTGCTGTCCTCTCCCTTGCAGACATCCAAGACAAAGACGACACACAACCGAGGAAGGCGAGATGCCTTTTAAAAATTAGACAACATCTTGGAAGGTTTATTTCCTTTATCACTAGACCTACATCCATTAACCTACACTCAGAGACAATTGGTGCCACTGTTCGGGAAGGCAGCTCAGATGGGTTGGAGTTGCCATTGTATATCCAGGAAAGACACAGATTAAAAAAAAAAAAAAAAAGTTGGTTTCCAAGGAACCAATTCCTCTGAATACAGCCTGATAGAAATTCAAGATAAAACTCTCATGGACTCTGCCAAGCCATCAAGGGCCACTAACATAATTCACACAGGGATGAACCGCTCCCATTTGCGAAACTTCTTCTTTGGCGCTTGTAAACTCTATCTTATCGAATTCTTATCTTTTAACTATACAAGACAGCATTTTAAATGATAAATTTCAGGGGAGGAGGTGAGAAGGCATTTCATGAAAAACTGGGGCCGTACAACAGCTAGGGAAATGTCTGTTTTCTTATGAAGATGAAGATCAGAATCAGAAGCCAGGATTTACTGAGCCCGATTCCCTGGCTTTGCATAAGGCCTTTCTCTACTATGACACCTTCTCAAAGTGACTCCTGTTTCCTTTTCGGGTGTCAACATGACTATCCGTTTTCTTTTGATAAAGGCCATCTTTAAAAACTGTTAGAATACACATAGGTTTTTCCTTTTTAGCTCTCCTTGCATTGCTATCTATCCAGAAAAGGAATGTTGTGCCTTCCAGAGGTTGTTTCCTTACTCTCTGTTGCTTCAAAAATCTTCAGGAAAAAAGTTGTCAACATCCCTGGACTCAGGTCTCCAACAAACTCACCTCCCCCTCCCCTGCTCCACTCCCATCTGCTTATAATTTAATGCTCTGTATGTTTTAATCATTTCATTAGGCATGTCCTTATTTTGAAACGCAACTAATTCTTCAGTTCAAACAAAACAGCCAGGAATTCTAAAAATGAAATCATTCTTTCCTTTCAGGTAGAAGTTGGCTTAGAAGAAATATCACACTTATTTTTGAGAAGGATAAAAGAATTCAAATGCTCCCGATTTTTAAAAATCATTGATTTTTTTTTAAAAAGTAAAAAGTATCTTAGAGATTTCTAAATTCTCTCCACAGTGTGGAACTGATTTTGAACATTTTTTTCATGCTTCCCTGAACACTGTGGTACATTATTTTTAAGGGTTACAAGCAAATAGGCTTTAAAAAAATTATGTCATGAAATACATCATTCCTACACTGGGTGGGTGACAATAGGCACAGAAGGGGGCTCCACTATAGAATCTGTCAATTTCATTAATCTGTGATTTTAATAGAAGTTTATATTTATTTAGACAAAAGAAATTATGCCTTGCTATAAGAGGGAAGAGATTTTATAAGGTATTTCATGGGATTTTTTTTGTCCCTGCCATTCATATTTATCGTATATAAAAAATGGAGCTGTTGAGCTTTCCAAGGCATGTTTAGTTTAATACTATATCAATGACTCAACAGTACAACGTGAAATTGATGTCTTTATGTTCAGATAACGACATCAGTTTACATGTTGGTGTAAATTTCTGGTGATGAGATGTTCTTGCGATATTTTAGAAGCACAAGTAACTTTCGTACACCATAGGCATTTAATAAATATCTGTTAATACCTTGCCAGGTATGATGCGTACACGTCGGTGTGTAACACTTGGGTCTTAGTTCTATTTAAGCTCAGTTTATTTATATACAGGGATTGGTACATAAAATAGTGAACATCCGATCCGGTGAAACTTCCCTGTATGTTGCAAAAGTAAATCAGGACTACTTTGTTTCCATATAAAGACTGGAATGATGATGACAATAACGTAACGGTGAGTTGTCTTGGAGGAATTGTTTTAGAACACATTGGCACTTTAGCAGCTGCCTAGGAAACCGCGGGCACAGTGGCTGACACACATGGTTGTCACGCGCCATCTAGTGGCTGCCTGTGAAACTGCGCCCACGCGGTGCGAAAGGCTTTCGAATAAGCTTCGCAGCTTCGAATTTCAGCGCCTGTCCGGCAGCCACTGCACCCTTGTCCATCTCTGAGGCTTTAAACTGAGAAGGTCCACAGAGGAAAGCATGCCACAGTATTTTTCCAAAATCCTTCTATCCTAAGGAACAGCTAAGAAGTAACTAGTCAGGGAAAAGATTTCTTCCTAGATCCAGATGAATAGAACTGAGAAGCAATCGAAGCTCGCGCTGGCAACAGTTGTGGCGTAAAGCAAGGTAAGTAGTATGACACTGGAGCCTTTTCCCAAAGAACCGCCACTGTGTGCAGAGGTCCGTGACCCGGCCTTGACTTGTCTAGCCCAGAGCTCTTGCTTGGTGTAACCAAAATGCATTTTCTGCAGCGTTGAGAGCTGATTCATACGGTACCTTAATTCTTCCATACGCCTTGCAGTGGCTTGTGATATCATATTTCATAATTACCAACGATCTGATTTTTAACTTTCTAATTTGAGCTGTTACCGTTAAAGAATGAACACATTTAAAATCAGTACTGGAAAGTGAATATCTGTAGGTTTATTCTTGTAATATCATTTAGTGCAAAATAGAGTGAAGACTGCAGAGTTCTTCTTGCTTGCAGTATCCCTGTTAAGTATCTTCAACAATTTAAACTGAGACAGTAAGTCATTCAGCTATAAGTTCCACAAAAATCATTACACAAGTAACGTGTGCGGACAGAAAGGGTGGGAGAAACATTTGATATTTGAGAGTAAATGGCTAAAATGAAGGTAAGTTGTTTTGGAAGCTCATAGAAGAAAACTTTATCACTAGCTTTCAGCAATGTTTACTGTCCTTGAAAAACGCTGCTTTCAGAGTCATGTTAACTGCTTTTCAAGACCATAACATATGAAATGATTTAGCAGATTAGTTCCAAAATAGAAAATCCTACAAGATCATTTCCCCTTCAGGTTAGGGTTAATTCCCATTAGAAATATAAGCGTTCAGTAGGTAATACTTCGCCTCCAAAGATATTTGCATTTGCCTTTTGGACTCTAATCCTGATCCATAAACTGCAAGAGAGCTTCAGCTACATCTTGAATATTTATTTTATACTCTCTTTATCAAAGGTCTATTTTAAGGAAAATATTGATCAATTTAAGATGTCTGTATCATTCCTTTTTTGAAAAAGCTGCAGACAAATAGCCACAGGAAGAATCTGATTGTTATACAGGTAAAATCATGTATCAAAAATTCCTGAGATTTTTTTAACACTTTACTGCACTAGTTTCAGTTTCAAAAATCCACTGTCTGAAAGCTAGAAGGGTAAAAGAAAGAAGCTGGTATGTAAAAACAAATCAGATCTGTGGGCTTAGGTCTCTCTTGTCACCTGTCTAGTTAGATGTCTGCAAAAAAATAAATAAATAAACCTTTATGGTTTCCTTAACCTTAAGTGTTTGAAGTGACCACAGTTTCCGGAATATTTACCTATGAACTGATGTTACAGTTGAAAAGGAAATCAGACTAATTTTTGGCAATCCTGTGCCTCACGACAAGTGCCGTTTGTACAATAAGAGGGAGGAAATACAGAGCTTGCAAAATTCCAATTTCTGGCCCTTAGCCTTTGCCTCGCTTTCTTGTCTTCTGTATATCAAGTCGTGTGTGTGTGTGTGTGTGTGTGTGTGTGTGTGTGTGTGTGTATGCCACAGCTGAGCTAAGGGTGAATGTAAACTTCTCCCACACGCTGGCGTGATACCTTAAAAATATATCTAGGAGTAAAAAATAAATAACATTTAAATACTGCTCCCTCCTTGGCGAAGGAGTGTGCGGCTCCAACAAACCATCTGCGGCTGCCGTGCTCTTCAGCTCAGGCTAGCAGAAATCACGCTATTCTTTCAAATATCTGAACTCTCCCCTCTGCCCACTTCATAGAGATGTTGCCGGGATAACCTGGGACAATTTCGGGAAGGCTCGGGGCTCAGGAGAACATAAATGCAGCGCATTGTTTTGCGCAGTCTGGCTGGAAGGGTAGCTTGCAAAGTAAAATTAAGACCTCCTCCTTTATTGTGCAGCGCAGTTGGGCTGTTTGATCTCTAAGTCCTCGGGTAATTGGAGTCTACACAGCATGTGGAATGTGGAATTGGGCCTGAGCCGTGGCCCGCATGCCCAAAGCCTGCTGCTGGCCTGCCTGGAGCACCATTTGCCCCTGGCTAGGTTCCGCCTGCATCCGGAGTTCTGCTTTGACACAGACCTTGTTTCCAAGCTGAGAAGATGAAGACGCGGTGGAGACTGGAAATAGAAGGCATACCGTTTGTTATCGGGTGCACAGAGGTAAACAGAAACTGTCCTGGATCTGAGCAGCCCTTCCGTATTTTGGGGGTTCTCCTCGTCTCATTCCACCACCCTTGCCCCAGTAACGGCAATTTTCTGATTCACCTTCTCCACCGCAGGTTTATCTTTCTCCCTGGGTACTGTGAAATCCACCTGCTCACCTCCGACCACAGTGCTCACTCCCTCTCTGAAGCTCCTAAGCTACTGACAGCTTACGCTCCAGCCTTTCAGCAAATGCACACCAGGCCCCTGCTCTCTGCCGGGCGTGCAGCTATCAGGGAGCCCTGTGGACAATGGCGGTGGCACGCTTTGGCCCCAGCGAAAGGTGGTGAGCAGACACAGTTTGCCCAGGAGTGAGAGGGTCTCCAAGCTAAGGTGCTTACGGCTTTTCAGCAGGCGTCATCCTGAGCAAAAGGAGACAAGAGGGTCGCTGTGCAGCGCCTGCAGTCTGGCAGATGCTGCCTCCTGCAGCTCTTAGTCTTCCCTGAAAGAAGTTTGTGTCCTCGTCCACAACTAAGAGCCTGTCCCATGTGTTTTCAGGTTGAACGGTACTCAGAAGCGCCGCTAGGCAAGGCTGTACCAGCTGGCCCAACCCGATGTCCCTGTTCTAAGAAACCATGGCTGGTTTCAGGTTGGAGGGGCCTGATACTTCTTGGAGAAAAGAAACAAAAATTATCAATATGAAATATGATGCCATGGAGCAGGACCTGTGAGACAAAGGCCTGAAGACAAGTTGCCTTCACATAAAATAAAGGTAACTAGTAGTGAACAGTTATTAATGCAGTTAACATTATTATGTCCATTTCACAGACAAAAAAGTTGAGGCACAAAGGAGGTTGTGTAACATCCTCAGTCACCTACAACATCCCATGCTCAGAGTCCTAAGCCAGAAATAATGCCCAGGGTGTGGGGAGGAGGTAGCGACACTTGGAAAACACAGTCACCTGGCTTTCTTCAAATTTAAAAGCCCAGTCGGGCATGGTGGCGCACTCCTGTAATCCCAGCCCTCAGGAGGCTGAGGCAGGAGGATCCTTGGGAGTTCGAGACCAGCCTGGGCTGCAAAGTGTGCTCAAGGCCAGCCTGAACTGCATAGTGAGACCCTGTCTCAAAAAGGCAAAAAAAAAAAAAAAAACATTTAGAAGTCCAGTTCTTATGTGACCTTTGAGTTCAGTCAGTGCGGAGACCCAAGAGGTTGCGAGCGGGATGAAGCCTGCGTCAGAGGCACCGAGTGGGGGTCACGCCACCCCCTCACACACATCTCTCTCTCAGTAGCAACCAGAGTTCTGAGCCCTCCTTACCTCTGCATGCGTGAGGGCCGCAGCTGGTAGTCTCCCTTCCCAGCTAAGGGCGGGTGACACTGCACTCAGCCACATTAGTTGGCCTGACTGTGAGAAATCCGTTTCCTTGCCTTGGTTTTTAGCTCAATCCTTGATGTCCCACCGGTGCCGACACACTGTCATATACGTAGGTCCACAGCCTTGTGCAGCAGCCACAGGCAGGGGCAGTAACAGACTGAGATTGTGTGTCCAGCATCAAACTGCCTGGGTTGGAAACCTGGCTTTGTGACTTTGGACAACATTCTGTGCCTCAGTTTCCCCATCTGTAAAATGGGGATGATAACAGCATCTCGAGGGGCTGTTGTATAAATATATATGCTGTGCCTTTAACCAGAGCCTGGTACCTGGGACTACCATAAACATGACTTATGATTATCATCATAAAATTATTACTGGTGACTAACGGCATGTGTCCGTGCAGAAAGCCCAGCTAGCAGCGGGATTGAGCATTTGAATGGCCATTTCTGTTTAGAATCAACAGTGAGTGACTTGGCAAGTCTCTGTTCCCTTGATTGTCTCCCACCTGAGTGGGCTACATTTTGGGTTGTCTGGGGGGACACAAGTTTAGCCGAGAAATGGCGCATTAAATAGCGCTCTTAGGCGGCACCTCAATTGCTAATTAAAGTGGCATTAACCCTAATGGGCTGGAAAGCAGGACTCTTGCTTCCCCAGTGTGGTTTCGGCGGGCCGTGTTCTGACGCACAGGTCCCCCCTTCCCGGGGCATTCAGGCAAGGACCCAGACCCTGACCGACCGGGGGCGGCAGAGGCCCTCAGGAGAAGGAGGCACGGGGTGGTTGCGCAACTTCAAAATCTGTGTATTGTTCCGGATAAATAACAATAGGAGAAAACCAGAAACGTGCTTGTACCAATCAGTCACAGGTGCTGACGATAGTTCACCTAATTACTTCATTATTTTTTGCCACTCCACGGAGCGGTTTGTATTTACAATCCTGTATATGGTTCTATTACTACCACTTATTGTGACGATTCCAGCAATTGCAAGGAGTCTCCGAGGGCCTGGACAAGTAGAATCTTGTTTTTCTTGATTTCCCTGGCGGGTGGAGGAGTAGAAGAGGCAGGAGGGGGAGAGAGGAGGAGTTTGGGGGAAAAGCATCCGGCTCGCATCGACCCACAATTGCTCATATAAGATGAGTGATAAATGATGGGCGATTTTTGAAGCGCTAGAATTTTAAAACAAAACAAACACATCCTCTCATGAGTTACGAGGCGGGCCTGTAAGGCACTGAGAGAGGGCAGAAGACGTGACTAAGCCTCCCTGGGCAGACACCCGCGTTGGAAAAGTCCTCGGACCCCAGGCGTGATGTGGGAAGCGGAGCTGGAGACGGTCTCAAGGGACACGTCGCCCTAATGAACACCAGGCCGCAAATTAACCGAGTGGGTTTGGAAAAACATTGTGGATTTGAGTCACTCAGGCATTGGGAAAGCTGCTAGAAGTCAGGGCTGCTTGTTTATAGCTTGTTAAGATGTTGACTGTGTACAAATGACATTTTCCCTTTGAAAAAGCGGGCACCTCTCTGCGGCTCCCGTTTCTCCTCACTTGCTGGGGCGCCTCCTGCCAGGGATAAAGGCTGCCTGTTGTTAGCTGACCTAATTGGTGCGGCCTCCGCTTTGGGGCCTCCGCGCTTCACTCAGCACTTCTGTCCCTCCTGCATTTTAAAACCATCCTTACGCCCAATGCCCTAGCAGCCGCGTGGTCAGACTGAATCTGGTTCCATGCCACCTTGCATCTCCTTGTGACCTGCCGATACCTGGAGAAGTGAATGCTGACCCCACCTGGCCTCCCCTTCTTGGTCTCCCCATAAAGAGTTTCAAGGCTGAATTTTCATAGCTCAGCTCATTCGCAAGGTCAACAGCCAAAAGCCAGCGAAAGAAAAAGGATGTGAATGTTCCTTCCCCGGACATAAAGGAAAAGTGACCGTATCACCAGATGTTAGAGGTCATGAACCCTAAACTCCCTGTCACAGCTGCTTAAGGTGTCTTGAGCGCTGAGTTATCAATAAAGGAAATTATGGAGAATTTCGATCACGTACTCCAAATCCCTCCCAAGTATACAAACTACCAAACAAGGTCACCAAGACTAGCAACCAAGGTCGTCTATGCAGAGAACCAGGGCTGGGGGTTACACTGGCCACAGGTTTGTTCTTCCAAAGTTCTAATTTCCTTGCTGCAAATTAACATATTTAATGACTGGGGCCCATCCTGCTGATCTGCCTTTTAATGAGGTCTGCAGACTTTTACTGACCTGGTGTTTGCGGACCTAGGTAGGTGCTTTATTTCATCCACACTTGAAAATGTGCGCCACTTCCTACCTGTTTTGGTGTGTAAGCTAATTGGCTTCACATGGAGCAAGTCCCGTTCCCCACCAGCAGCCATACCAGGTCCCTGTCAGCCTTCAGTGTGGGCCAGGTAGGAACACGGCGCGGGCTTTCCGCAAGTCCTCCCACTCCTCCACCCCGTGAGAAGTCCGCGTTCCCCTCAGGGCCCCCCAGAACAGTCTGTCTGTGGATTAAAGGCCCAGCGCGTGCACAGCACAGGTACAGCGGTTCGACTTCCCCACCCAGCCTTGCCCACTTCTCTCCTTTATCTGCACTGACCAAATAGTTGGTGCTTGCATTTATAAACAGCATGACCTGTCGCTGTACATCCTCTGTTCGGGCTTCATTCGGAAGACTGAAAAAATGGGAAGAATAATTAAATGGGTTGATGTTCTATTCCCTGATGAGAAATCGTAGGTCGGCACTGTTGAATTTGGAAGTAAAAGGGCCCTGGTGTCCTTATAAATATCAGCTCAAAGCATGTCTTCATAATATGATCAAACAACTTAATTTCACAAAGTATGTTTTTCTTATAGCTTCTCTCTCCTTCTCTCTTTGTCATTCCCCTTTCATACTGTCTTGTTCCTTTTAATCCAGATTTTCTTCTCTCTGTCTCTCCCAGTCTTTTTCCCTGACCCTCTTGCTCCCCTCTGTCTGTCCAGGAAGCACGAGGACCCTCGGAGATTCCCCTAGGGACCCGACTCTGACAAAGTACGTTTTCCTGTGAATGAATTGCACACAATTGATTACCGTGCCTTTAAGGGTGAGAAAAATGATGCTGTTGCTTTAGTGGCCTATGGAGTTCAAGGCAGAACCTTGGTTGCCGATCACCCGCTTAAAATAAGGAAAGCACAGCCTAAGTATTTCCCACTGGGGGGTACAACCTTTACTTTAGAGGCCTGGGACAGCCAGAGCACTGGGGCCTGCCTGCTGGGATGGAAGGAATTAATTAAATTACCTTATATTTATTGCTGATTTTGTCTCAGACTTGTCAGGTAATAGACAACAAGCCCAGACTTGACTGGGAGCACCAGCCTGGGCATGAGGGTGTCTCTTGCGTATTTCTAACATCAGATTAACTGAGCTGACATCTTTGTTTCGATTATTTTACCAATGTGGTTCCAATATTATTTCAACAGGTGTCAATTTGAGGGCTGTGGTCAGAATCCCACAACCTTGTAACTGAGAATGGCGGCGCTCAGCTCTGAGACTGTGTCAAGCTGGAAGAAAAGGAAGGGGTGGAGATGTCTCCACAGGAGCGTCCCTTGTAAGGGAATTCGGGCTCATAAGTAGGCAAGGCTGTGGGGGGGTGTGGCTCAGCGGCAGAGTATTTGCTTGGTATGCCCAGGGATATAGGTTTAACCCTTAGCACCGCAAAACATAAAAATGAAAAGACTTAAATATATTCAGATGCCAGTTTGGAACTCACTCTTACTGAGCTCAGTTGCAGCAAGGAAGCCTTCTGTTGATTGAAGACAGTAGTGAGATTCTTCCCACAGTAGGGTTGGGCGCTTTTGATAACTGATTAAAATTTGCAGCACGGGGCTGGGGATTTAGCTCAGCGGCAAAAGCGCCTGCCTGGCATGCGCAAGGTCGTGAGTTCGGTTCCTGGTACCGGAGAAAAACAAAAAAACAAACAAACAAACAAACAAAAAAACAAAAAAACAAACAAACAAACAAAAAATTTGCAGCACATATGGAAGCCCGAACCTTTCAGGAAGTAGGCTGGAAGAAGGCACAAACAGCATGAAGTTATATTGGGCGGTGATGTTATGGCCCCACGCCACACAGACTGGTAGGACTGTCATCCTTTGGACAGTGGGCGGTTCAGACTCTGGAATTTCACAGACTTGGGCTTTCGAGTTATTTTTCCACCCTTACCCCCAATCCTTGAAAAGCACTTCCACACAATGGCTCAAGGGAGCAACACTGTCAAGGTCTTCTCCATGTATCGGAGTCAAATACAAAGCGTGGCCTGCTGAAACGTTTTATCAAACTGGCTCTTGTGGACCTGCCACTCTGCCCACACACCTGTACCTACCAAGGGGGAGCTGTAGACCATCACTGGTGCTTGCCAGGCAACGGTGACTGGCAGGCCACCTGTTGCTCAGAAGGATGTCTGCCTTTTGAAGATCACTGAGCTAGGCTGGGCGCGGCGGCACACGCCTGTAATCCTAGCACTCGAGAGGCTGAGGCAGGAGGATCGTTTCAAGTTGGAGACCAGCCTGGGTTACAAAGTGAGCTCAAGGCTGGCCTGAACTGCAAAATGAGACCCTGTCTCAAAAAGACAAAAAAAAAAAAAAAAA